AGAGGAGGCGGGGGGGGGGGGGGGGGGGTGGAGAGAGACCAAGCAAGACGGGTAAGTAGAGGGAGCTTTGTTTCATACATTTTACTTGTTGCTACTTAATCATTTTATCTCTAGCTAGTGTCTGCCAGCAGCCACACATTAGTGGGGGCCAGAAGTGTAAGAAATACTCATGGACGAAAGTCTTAAATGAAAACGTTCTGGACATCAGTTTTACTGGTCAAATGCTGCCATTTCTGACTTTTAGAGCCAGAACACACCTCAGCCCCCATCTCGGAACCCAGAAGCAGAGCATGGAAACCACTGTCTGCAGGGGCACCATCCTTGGTTAATAACTTGCATTCAGTCCCCACAAATTCAGAACTGAAGAGCTGCTCTTCAGTTCTGAGTGACCATGGCTTATAACTTGTTCGAACCTCAGTTTCCTCATCTGAAGAAGGGGATAATAACCAGAAGCCCTGATGAGGCTGCGGAGGGCCACGTGCAGGAATGCCCACAGGGTCTCTGGAGCACCCAGAGGGGACACTTGGTTAATAACAGTACTTTTTGTCAGAATCCTTTGTGCCAAATATGACTCTGACCTCTTCCCACTACAAAATCTTAGTTCCTCTGGCACTTAAGAGTGCATTTTCCGAGCATCTAGATGGATTCTCAGGCGATGTCTCCTGTCATTGCTCAAACAAGAGGCTCTAGCATCCCTGGCCAGAGCAGTCACTGCGAGCCAGTACCTACTTTAACAGTTTTCCAGAGCAAAGCCACCACAGCCTGGCTATGGAATTGGTGTGGCTTTGATGGCAATGTGTCTGCAGGGGATCACAGCAGTCCCACGGAAATGCCCTGCTGGGCTCCTCTGTGCCCTTGGCCCACTGTCCTAGGGATGCAGGGGACAGTCATGCAGGCAGGATGGTGGTCAGGCTGGGCCTGTCACTTCAGAACAAAGCAACTGTCCCATCTCTTTCTTGTTTTGAAGAGCTGGATTCCACCCTCATTCATGAAATCTGCAAACTGGTACCTTGTCAGGAAATGGTATTTGGACTAAAAAAAAACATATTACGGAATGAGATGCTTCTCTGTGCCTTTGTTTTCTCATCCATAAAATGGGAATAATAAGGGTTTTCGCCTCACAGGATTGTTCTGGGGATTTAATGAGCTATTTTACATAACACACACAGACCAGTGAGAGGCAGCTGCTGCCTCTTAGTAGTATTACTATTATTACTGTGTTATCCCAATCTATCCATTACTTTGAATGGTGTTTCCCAAATATTATTCATTCACATAGCACTGTCCTAAATTTCTTGCTGTTTTCACTATTGTTCATTTATTGTTTTTCTCTAAGCAGAATCACTTTCTATTCATATTTATTTTAAAAGGGAATTCTATATCGCCATGGCAAATGGAAAATAGAATTCTCTGCTGTAACTGGAAAGCAAATGTAAAAATAAATACAATGAAAACAAGTAATTGGTTAAGCTCAAGACTGCGGACCACCAACGGCGCCGATCCTGAACCTGATCCTGTCTTTTCTGAAAAGAAAGATCAGAGGGTGTAAAGGCGCAGCAACGATGCAAAGCTCTACTCCTCTGGGTAATCACAGGCAGCGAAACAGCTGAAAAGCAAGTGGCCTTCTCCCTGCAGAATCCATACTGAATGTCCAAGCTCTGTCTTCCTGAAACTGTACAGGCACTTGTAAAACCATCCGGTTTTCCACCACTCTGGGAGACTATTCCAGAGCTTCATTATCGAACAGGACTTTCTGCAAGGATGGAAATGTTCTGGATCTGCACTGTCAACATAGCAGCCACCAGCCGCATGTGGCACTTAAGCTCTTGAATTGTGGCTAGTGTGCCTGAGGAACTGAATTTTTAATTTCATTCAATTGTAATTAATTGAAATTTAAACTGCTACGCGGGCTATTGGCTGTCATACTGGGTAGCACAGATTTACTAAGGAAACTACATGTGCCAATCCTTTTCACTCTTCAAGTGAACTTACGTTCATTTTGGGGTATGCTCTTGCTTCCTTTGAGGGAGATCTTATAAAACCAGACAGTGACTTGTCATAGGGGTGTAAGAGGGGATTGCCTACAGTACTCTTCATTATTGTTTAAAGCCTGGTGTGGACATTTCTTTTAAAGCTCCCTTTGAGGAAATGATATATTTTCTCTCATTTAGCAATGGAATTATCCAAAATAGTTACATTTCCATGTTCACATTGGCTGTCCGGAAGCCTATATGAAATTCAAAAATCAATGAGAGCAACTGTGTGGAATTTCATGAGAGCTATATATGATTTCCACTGTTTTCTTAATGGAAATTCTCTTAGTTTATATTTTCTCTGACTCTACTATTTTATTTCTTACTTCTATTTTATTATTTTTTTCTATGAGTTTCTCCAGAAATTTTTTTTGGGAATCACGTAGAAGGCATTTTTAACTAAGAAAAATAAAGTCCAATGCAACCGGTATTTTGAATGAGTCACCTTTTATCCACTATCATTTATGATCTCAAAAAGAAAAAGAAACAGAAAAGAAACCATTGTAACAAAGATTTTCTAAGATGCTTCCAAATTCATGCTCAGATTTTTGCTCATGAGATACCAGGCAGAAGCATCATTAGCTAAAAGCAGAAAAACGATTGCATTCAAGAGGTGCTGCTTCATGCATCCCAACCTCAGGAAAGATTTCAAAGTGCCCAAGGCGAGGGCTGGAGCTGCTCTGGGCGATGTGGGAGCTGCCAGGTCTGAGGCTGGATGAAATGTGGGCCACGTCCTCCGCGCACTGGAAAGCTCTGAGGACAGCGGATGGGGAGAGAGGGGCGGGAATGCCACTGTGACCACTGCGGAAACAATCTCCCAGGCAGTGGCATATTTGTTTTGTCCACCTCATTTCATAACTGGCTTTCAGAAGCTAAAGCCTGCCAAGTCACTTCCTGGGGTGATGGGGCTGGGGGCAAAAGTCCAAATGTAAGGTCAAGGAAACCTCTCACGTGATATCACATTTTCATTTCCCTGTTAAAAAAGAAAAGCTGTCTGCTTCACTTTTCTCATCCTCAAGCTTTCTGATGACTGCAAAGCAGAACTTGAAGGGCATGCAAATGAGAGGAAGTTTGTTTGTTGTTTGGAATTTGGGATTAAAAAAAGAAAAGAAAAAGATATTCAGATATATGTCATATCTAATTCTCTTTTTTAAGAGCTGATACCAACATGAACACTCAGTTTCTCTACCACTATTAAAGTGCTAGTGTTGCTCAGCTAACTAAGCTGAAATGACCTTCTGTTGCAAGCTTCCTTGCCAAAATCACCTGTCCATAAGATCTTAGGTAAGATGTGTGACATGTCCACCCCCAGACCTGGCACCGGAGTCCAAACATGGCGATTGTTTTGGAAAACAAGAAATAAATGCTAAGTATCTATGGGACGATATATAATTCTGATGATGCTAAGAGCTTTCCTAGGTAAGTGTTATTATTATTTGTGTTTCACATATGAGAAAGCTAAGATTTACTTAAGGCCCCAAAATTGAAACCAGAGCTTTTATTTTTAAGTACGTCATTTTTTTCCACAATCCCAGTCTCTGGGGAAAATATCTTAATACCTAAGAAGACTTCTTCAATGGGTCAATTCCCCCCGCTAAGAAAATTGTAACAAAATTCAAGGACTTTTTTACCCTGGCCAGGTGGCTCAGTTGATTGGAGCATCCTCCTGTGCACCAAAATGTTGCAGGTTTGAGTGTCAGTCAAGGCACATACCTAGGTTGTGGGTTTGATCCCCAGTCAGGGCACTTACAGGAGGCAACAGATCAACGTTTGTCTCTCACACCGATGTTTTTTTCTCTTTTTCTCTCTCTCTCTCTCTCTCACTGTCTTTCATTAATAAATATATCCCCAGGTAAGGATTAAAAAAAACTCATGGCTTTTTACAGAGCTCATAGGACAGAAAAACAAAACAATGAAAATTGTGATACAAAAAGACAGTAGAACTGGAAGCAGCTACCACTTAGAGCTGAAAACAAAACAGTCCCAGGACAAGATGGCTGGAAACTACAGAAATCAGGAAACTACAGAACACCAATGGCTGGAAATCAGGACCCAAGGCAAAAAAGAAAAACAAAAACAAAAATAGGATAAGTAGGAAGGGCTGAAAGAGGCATCAAAAAAACAAAGAAAAGATGGAAAACTGAGGTCCCAGTTGTTGAAGCAAAATCACCTCCATAACAGACAAAGGTCCTATAGTCTCTGACACTCAATCCCCAACCAGGGGCTGCCCATCTCTACCCTAAGGAGGTAAAGAAGATGTCCGCAGTTTTCATTTGTTAATTACCTGTTGCTCCTTCTTTGGAAAAAGTATTCTGGTTTATGCTTAGGGAGCCACGTCTCCCCTTTCTCAGACACATGATCAAATAAGGTCTACTCCAACCCCATGGTCACATGATCCAAACCTGGCCAATCACAGAAGTCTATAACCCAATCCCAAGGTTTAGGGATGGGCTTGACATCCAAGACAGACCCGTAAGTAATGCTGGGGACTTGGCTGAAACCACCCTGACAGGCTCAGTCTGGTGCTGCTGAGAGCCACATCATCAACCCATGGAAGCCAGCCTGAAAAGGATGCCTCAGGAGACAAAAAAAGGAGATGGCAGCAGATTCCTGAACACAGGACCAGTCATTCCTGAGGCCATATCTGTGCTTGGACTTTTCTGTTGCAACAGAAGCCAACAAATCCCATTAATGCTGAAGCGGTCTGAGCTGAGGGGTCCTGGCCTCACTAAGAGGCCTAGCTGGCATGAGGCGCTCCGCCCAGCTCCCTCCCATTTGATGAAGAGGTCATTTGATGAAGGACCTCTTCCCCAGGAGTCAGGGCAGCTGGAACACTGATGTTTGCAGGCTGTGGCCTTCTAAGTACAGCCCCTGCATTCCGCTACCAAGAGAAAAAAGCATCACAGCATAACATACTAGTGTCCGTTCTACCCTGGCAGTGAGGCCACCTGAACACCAGGTGCTTACCTGATAGACATGGAATGCATTCGCTGCTTTGCCCCGGAGAAACACAGATGGGATCCAGACATTGATCAGCGCCCGGTTGGATCTGTCCAAAGGGAAGATCAAAATTGGTCATTTCAATTTACAAAAAAAGTGGGGGGGCAGCTATCTTTTCTTCTAAGAGGTATATGCACAATTTCTGACATCTCTAACACTTAACAGTAAAGGACCAGTTTAAACCTCATTGCTTGGTCCTGCAAAATTATTTTTAAAGGACTCAGTTACATGTGTGTGCGTGGATTTTAAATTTCTATATGGAGTCTGTATTCTGGAATGAGAAAGAGCTGCCCTTCAGTTCTGAGTGACCATGGCTTATAACTTGTTCGAACCTCAGTTTCCTCATCTGAAGAAGGGGATAACAACCAGAAGCCCTGATGAGGCTGTGGAGGGCCACGTGCAGGAATGCCCACAGGGTCTCTGGAGCACCCAGAGGGGTCACAATGCCTCCTCACATTAGAACATGCCCCCAATCTTAAGATGAGATTGCATGAAAGAGTTCCGGAGACCAACAGCTATGGCTGTGAGAGCAACAGCTGTTGGGGTGAGGGGACCAAAAGAGACAAGGTAGGACCCCCGGAAGCCAGGTGCAAGGAGCCCTCTTTCATCTTGTCCACGCACAAAAACTTCGTATATGGCTCAAATACAACAAGACTTAAATTCAAATACAAAATCTTTTACCAAGTACCTAATGACATGGCTCCATGCTTTTATGTATATTATCTCAGTTAATCCTGATAGGCTATTTAAGGAATTTTCAAGGGTTATTTTGGTTATGTGACAGTTTTGCCTTCTGTGAAGACTTTAAACTTAACTTATGAGTCACTGGGTACACACACCCACCACCACCACCACACTTCCACCAGGCTGGGTCTAGCTCACAAGGAATTGAAAAGTTAACCAAAGGAGCTGGAACTTCAAGATTAATCATAACAGCTATCAAAACAGCACTGTACACTTCTGGAAGGGCTGGGAGGTCCCAGCCACTGCCTCTACTTAGAGCTGTTCCAGGGCTTAACACTTAACACTTTTTCCCAAGTTCCTGTTCTCTCTAAACAGCAACTCATAAAAATTCACCAGCCTCCTGTGCTTAGAACTTGAGATGTTGATCATGGAAGATTCCATGACTCAGTATGTCTCACAATCTTTAGAATAAAAAGAATTTTATTTCCATAAAGAAACAGTCCTCTCCTGAAGCAGCATTTCTTCTGAGTTCTGAGCTGAGGGGCTGACCTTGTTCATTGGTCAAAAGAAGCCCTGTTGATCACTCCCCTGGGCTGCTAATACAAAGTGCAATCTGAGCCACCAAATTGGTTTGTTTACTTAATGATAGTCTTCCTGTAAAGGTTCCTGAAATTATACAAGTGCCTAAGGTGTTCCCCTTTCATTTCTGTCAAGGATGTGTGGAGTGGTGCAGAAGTGTAACTAACACTCTGGTTTTCATTAACCTTTCTGGATTGCTAAGGGCTGGACAACTTCCCAAGCTACTGCAAGGTCACCCCAACTGGGTTAAGCATGTCTTCCTTTCACAGCATTTACCACACTGTATTAGAACCTATTGTTTACACAGCCATCTCCCTCCTAGCTGTTAGTTCTTTATTTATTCTTCTGTTTGTTCACTCACACATTAAACAAGTATTTATTGAGAACCTACTATGTGCCAGATACTACGCTAGGTACTAGAGATAAACCAGTGAAGAAAGCAGACACAGCTCCAGCTCTCTTGGGGTGTGCCCTTTAATGAGGGAAAGACAAATCCCCATTAAAATTATTCCTCTGTGGTCATAGGAGATACTTTGTATGATTTCTGTCTTTTTAGATTTTACTGAGATTTGTTCTGTGGCCTAACCTATGATCTATCCTGGAGAATATTCTACATGTACTTGAGAAGAATGCTGCTGTTTGGTGGGGTGTTCTATATATGTTTGTTAGATCTAACTGCTTCATAGTATTATTTGAGTTTCCTATTTTCTTATTAGTCTCTCTAGTTGTTCTTTACATTGAAAATGAGGTACTGAAGTCTTCAACTATTACTGTAAAACCATCTCTTTTCCCTTTATTTCTGTCAACTTTTTACATTATATTTTTAGGCTCTATTGTTAGGTGCATATATGTTTATAATTGTTACACAGAAGTTATTTAATTGCCATTGTTGTAAATGCCACCAAGGAACACTGGCTCTAAGGAGAGTGAACACCACAGGGTCCTGCTTCTTTCAGGAAGCAATGTTCGGATAGGGCTTTGGGGAACACTGAGAATTAGCCAAGTTGGGGAGGAGAGGCTGAGGTTAGGAAAGGTGCTTCCAGCAAGGGGATTGACATTTGTGAAGGGCACAGAGGCAGAGTCTAGATTAAGACTGCCTGAGTCTGAATTCGGATCAGACCTGTCATCTGTAGACAATATGCATGTCACAGAGTTGCTACATGGACTGAGTTAGAACAATGCCTAGTGTAGAGAAAATGTTATATCAGTGTGGGCTACAAAAATAAAATATGATCCTGAGTAGAGAAGACCAAGTAAGTTAGAGATGTTGAATCAGCCAGGGTTACTGGTGTACAGGGAGGGGACAGGAGAGGGCTGGGGAAGAAACCAGAGGTCAGCAATGGCCTCTGTGGCAAGCTACAAGGAAGATTTGGGTCTCCATATTGAGAGAGGGAAATAGCACATCCTCTGGCTTTCGTGGGACTATGCAAACCAGAGGGAGGAAATCGCAAATCTCTGGGGAAGAGATGATGTGACTGGACGGGCAGAGGCTGCCCGAGGGCAGGAACTATGGCTAATTCATCCCCTCCATCAAGGACCTGACACAACACTACCCTGCAGTAGGTGCTTGATAAATTCTTACTTTAATAATGAGTCCCTTCTGGTCACAAAAGACATGCCTCTGGGATTCTCCTGCATAGCTTTCACCTGTCTTTTCAGCTTGTCCCCACCCTGGTCCTCTACCAGGCTACCGTTCCATTATCCTCTTCGTGCTGTACTCGCCCCACCCACGCGCTCACGGGAGGCAAACTCACCTTTGATCTTCCACCTTCACCTTTAACCACCTTGACCCCCTCATCCTACCAACCTAACTGCCATCTCCACCTCCGCTGCAGCCACCCCCGCACTCAGAGGCCGCTTGATGCTCTCAATGGTTTTCATAATCTCACTCTAATCACCACCACAACCCTGTAAGCCTGGCATTATGACCTTAATCTGATGAGGGAGGAAACTCAGGCCCAGCGAGGTTAGCTGGCTTGCCCAAAGTCACAGCAATGTGAAGCCTGTAGCTAAGACTTCAACATAAGCCAGCCTGGCTCTGACACAATGTTCTGTCCTGTGCCCTGCCCTCTCTCTCCAGAAGTGGGCTTTTTCCAGATGACACCTTTTCTCCAGAGGCTGAAACCTTCTTCCACTAGGTGCAAGTGAATGAAAGGGGGGGGGGGGGTTCTGCTTAGCCTTAATCCAAGACCCCCTCCACTGTTTGTTTGTTTTTTTTACCAGCCCAATGAAATTATCTGTCCGAAAACCAAGGCAACCTGATCAGAAATAGTCCGTCTGAAAATCAACTAAAATCCCTTAAGGGTAATCAGTAGAGGCACCAGAAGAATGAAATCCAATAAAAAATTAGACCAATGTACTAAATCACTGCTGTTTCCAATAACCCAGGGGTTGTAAACTCAGGTCCCCATAGGAGACACACAGACAACGAAATGAGTGGTGGGCTAGAGTCATGCAACAGGGAGAGGTGGGAACTGTGGTTCGCTGAGGAGCACTCGCCCTGTGTGAAGGAAGCAGCAGCTGCTCAGCTCTGACTGTGGCCTTGTAGGGATCTGAGCCTTCTTTCAAAGAAAATAGAGAAATTTAAATTTTTATGTGATATCTTCCAACTCTTAAATGTCACCCCCAAAAATTGTTTTTCAATACTGAAGGGGAAACATAAAACACCTCTGAAGGCCAGGCTTGGCCTGCAGGAGAGCAATTTCCCTCCTCTACAACAACCGCACCAGTCTGTGCACTTTAACAGTGATTTCTGTTCCCTGGATGGGCCTTCTGGGACTCAAGCCAAACCACAGAGTCCTATTTCTAAAGGGCCCCTCATAAGCAGACTCTGTGGACTTACATTTCAAAATCCGACAAACTTTGGTCTTCGGATGTTTGACTCAAATCTCCAGGCACCTGTCACCAGGAGAGGGAAAAGGGGGAGAGAAAACACATCATGGTTACCACAGTTTGCATAATCATAAAAGAATCCTGCCTCTCAATGAACCCTGAACAGACTGAGGTGAAAAAGCAGTTGCTGGAAAACAATGAGAGATTCTGTGGAAGGAAGAGTAGAGATGGGGTTACAGGAATAAAAATATGCCACCATGAGAGATCTCAATTATCTTTACAGGAAAAGCACTGTTAATCCTATTGAGATAATCACAGGCATGTACAAGCATGTAATTTTGGAGCTATAAGGGCCTAGTTAAAATCTGAGATGCAAGACATCAAACGTGCAGCACAAAAAATATCCATTGTCACCGAGATGAACATCACACACACAGACACACCCAACGCATAAACACAAACAGCCAATGCCCGCACCCCAATGACTCCATTCTTTCCCCCTCATAATTATAAGTAATTCAAGGCAACAGAACATGGTTCCTCTTCTGACTCAGAAGGACCTCACAAAAACATGATGAGTTATAGAAACTAAATTGCTTGAAGTGATGGCACCTATTATGTAAAGCAGACAGCAAAATGGCCTGCACAAGTTGAAGCTGAATAAATGGTGACGACAAGGTCACACCCAGGGAGTACATTTCCTTTCGTGACCAGATCAAATCTGAACTGCTTAGAGCTTAAGACTGTGGATCACAACTAAGAGGGGCCAAGTGGAATAAAGAAGGGTGCAGGGTAGTGAAGGAAAGAGAACTGTTATTTCACACTTGGCACCTGTCAGAGATTTCACATTATCACACTTTCCATCAGTCTGGATGACAATCCCAGGAGTGGGTATTACCCCCATCAGCCTTTACAGATGAGACCGAGGCTCAGAGAGGCTATAAAAGTTGCCCACAGTCACACATGTAGGAAGTGGATATGAATCCAGGTCTGGGCAACTTCAAAGGATATTCTGCTACAAACTCTCCCAGCCAGAGGAAAAGCCAGCTGAAAAGTGAGAGGACGTAAGAATTTTAGCCAAAAGTTCTGCCCTTACAGTGGTTCAGGAGATACAAGAACGTACCCCTTAAAGAAACAGTGGGTTCCCTTTAGAGGCAGGAGAATCCAATGATCATGGAGCCTGCCCTCTGGGGCCACATGCCTCAGGGACCATATCCCAGCTCTGCTTCCTGACTGTATGGTCATGAGCAACTCACTTGATTTCCACGTGTACCACTGACTTAACCTGTAAAATGGGTATAATAGCAGTAACAGTCATAGGTTATTCTGAGGGGAAAGTGAGTCAATACCTGTAAAGTATGCAAAACAGTGCTTGGCAGGTAGAAAGGACTCGATAGCTGACTTGTGTTGTGCACTATAATAATAAAATCACAATTGCCGAGCAGTAAGAACAGTATGTTCTGTTATCCTTGACACTAGACATGAATCTGTCCTGCCAAACCAAGGGGTGTCTCTTACCTCATCTATGGCAGCCCAGAGGCAGAATGACCGAACCCGAGCCCTTCACAGATGTGTGGAGCTAAGCAATTAAACTGGGCTCCAGGCAGCAGACTTTACTAAGAAACTGCTTTTGAAAAATTCTTTCAAACCCACTAGGAGGAAACCTGCCTAGCCTCTTGAAAAACTTTATTTCCAAGTGATAAGGAACTTCTGATCTGGGGTGGGTGTCAGTGTGGCCTTGCTATTAAGGCGACTATCATTTCTGTGCAAGTGGCTGGGAGGAGAGATGGTATAATCTACCAGGAAAGCTGTGAGGCTCTGCGTACCAAGATCCTTTAACCCAGAAATCTCACTCCCAAGAATTTATCTAGAAGAAACAACCAAAGACACCAACATTTACACCAAAGATCATTCTGTTTCCATTGTTTAGATAAGTAAAAAAATGAAAAAAAAAAAATTCAAACAACCTGAAGGTCCAACTATACAGGAATGATGCAAGAATTTATGGCATGTCTAAATGAGATGGTCAAGTTAAAAATGGGGTACACACACACACTCGTGAAGGTGCAAACATAAAAATAATTCTGGAAAAGTATATAAGAAAAATAGTGCCCTGGCTGATGTGGCTCAGTGGATTGAGCACTGGCCTGAGAACCAAAGGGTCGCCGGTTCAATTCCCAGTCAGGGCACATGTCATTGTGGGCCAGGTCCCCAGTAGGGGGTGCTCAAGAGGCAACTGCACATTGATGTTTCTCTTTCCTTCTCCCTCCCATCTGCTTTCTCTAAAAATAAATAAATAAATAAATAATTTTTTTTTAAAGAAAATAGTAACAGTGGCTATCATTGATAATAGATTAAGAGTGGGATTGGGAGGGAAAAAGTCTTATTTTTAATTTGCTATCTTTCTATAAGATTAAAGAAAAGAATAACTTTTGAACTGCTTTAAAAAAAAAAATGAAACGTGCTTTTGAGGAATAAGATAGCATTCCATGCATTGTTTTGAAAAGAGCTCCAAGACAGATCATCAAGTGAAAACAAAAGCAAGGTGTAGTCAGTCAGTGGCTCTAATACACTACTCTGGGTGCAAAAATGAGGAATTAAAAATATCAAGTTGTAATTGTTTGTCTTTGCATTAAGAAGCTATAGCACTTAAATTTAAGACACCAATAAGGCAGCCTATGGGCACTGGGGATGAGGGCCCAGGCAGCTTGTGCATGGCATTGGGAGTGAGGCTATATATTGAACATCCTTTTATATTATTTGAGTTTTTAAATAATGCACTACCACTCCAAAATTTAAATAAAAACATATAATCCCACCAAGAGAGTGCTTTTGATCAATTTTTAATGTCACAGAAAAGAGCTCCTGGTCTCTGTTTAATAAAAAGCTGCTATGGACTGCAACTACCCAGTGTGATCCCTAATATAACTTAAAATGCACACGTACCAACAAAGAATGAAACAGATCCGAAAGATGACAATAGGAGCTCTCTGAGAGAGAGGTCAGGTGAATTTAGGTTACATATTTGAACAGTGAGAATGTATTGATCATGTAACCACAAACAGATACACATTATGTATTCAGTGTACATCATATCATTATGTAAAGTAAATAATATATTTTTCCAACTCCTTCTCCCACCAATGCATTTTGCTGGAATGCAGAAAGCCAGATGGGAGAGGCTTTGCCTTCAAATGCTCTTATGCATCTTGAAAGAAAAAGGGCAAAGGAAGGCCCTGAAGGCACATCACCTTCCAGACACTATCTACTTGATGGAGGGGGAACCTGGTGGAAAAGGCCAGGACTCTAGAGCTTCTCTGGCAGGCCCCAGGGCGGCTTTCGGCCTCTTGTCTCCTCAGAGCTCCCCCCTCAGCACCCTGCATCTCTCCCGGCAGGATAAAAGGATCAGATGCAGTAAATAGATTAGAGGAGGGACCAGAAAGACACCAGCTGCACCACATGCCCATCAAGGCCTGGATATGTGGCCCCATTTCAGACTGGAAGTGAACCCAGCTCATACCCAGGAAACCCCTGTCACAGGAAGGAAGCTTCTGACTGTGTCTATCTCACAAAGCAGAAGGGGAAGATGACCAGAAGGACGAAAGCCGAAGACAAGGTAGGGTTTTTAAGATTAGACATACCCTTACAATGATGAGAACAAAAAGCCTCTTCAAAAATGACTGATTTCTTAGGAGAAGGCATTTTCCTGACAGATCAGTTTTTTCCTCAAGATGCTGATTCTTAGGGAACCTTTTAGACAGTGGATGTAAGTATCTGGGAGTTGTTAAATCCTTCCAACTCTGAAGCGTTTCTTCTAATTATGTGGTATTAATGGGATCGGCAAGCCAGGAGACATCTGTGTGCCTACATGAGTTCTGGGGAGGCTGGCTGGAAACAGAATCTGTGAATCCTCTGACCTTGTGGAACGTTATCTGAAAAATCAGCCCAAAGCTTAACAGCAACTGCATGATGATAATTGATGGCCAAATTCATTAAACATCTGAAAATTTTGTCTTTGCATGCTATCTACACAGATTGGTGCTAGATATCACCCGGGGTTTACAGTAATCATCCAGGAAGAGGGTCTTACTTCACACTCTGGCAGTAAAAGAAGTGTGGAGCAGAGTATTTTATCATAAAAATCAACTTTCTATTGATACTGGCCACAAACATCCCTGGTGACCTCCTGAAGCCCCAGGGAATCTGGAGGACGCAGCTCAGGGATATAGTCCTCTGTTTGATTCACCCTCTACGTGGGGCGTAAGTAAGTGACTGGCAGCATGGCTGTCTTCATTTACTTCCCCTTGACCCATAGAGCAGGTGGCTCACCATCTGGCCTGTGTTCTGGGAAGTCATGTAGCAGAACGTGGGTGCAGGGAAAGGCAGAGCCCCTTACTGGAGAAATAGGGCCTCAAGGAGGCCTGGATCCTCCTGAAGCAAACAGCCCAGGTGCTGCACACACAAGGACTGAAGGGATGACAAGATCCACAAAGAATTAGCGTCTGTGTTGCATCAGCAAAGAAGCTTCCACAAACTCTCCTGACAAGAGCAGCCGCCTCACAGTGGCAGCATGGGGCTTGGACACTGGGTCATCCTGACACTGTGGTTGGGAATTCCTCAAACCTGGGAAGAGGGTTCAAATACTTGAGGTTCTGCCACAAAGAATGACAAATGTGCTGAATAAATGTTTATTTAAAGAGGGAGAGTGGGAGGAAAGAATGAAAGAAAGAAGAAAAGAAGGGGAGGTAGAGAGGCATGGGAAGGAAGGAAGGAAAGACAGAAAGAATCAGTCAACTTGCTGATTCTACCAATGGGAGAAGGTATAGGGGAAAAACTAACCCTCTTTCCACTGGCAAATCAAGACCCAGGCAGGTGTGGCAAAGGAGGACAGGGTACCCTCCCCTTCCTTGGAGATGCCCGCACTTCCCAGTCCTGAGAAGTGTACAAACACAGCAACGCCACCATCACCAAAGGCCTCCTGCTTTACATAGTGCTTTCACAGGACAACCTGTCTCACATCCTCCTCCACACAGCCCTGGGGGAAGAGGCATCACCCCTATTCACAG